TCACCTACCGTAATCTACTGTCACCTACTGTCACTTACTGTCCTCTACTGTCACCTACCATAATCTGCTGTCACCTATTGTCACTTACCATAATCTGCTGTCACTTACTGTCCTCTACTGTCACCTACCGTAATCTACTGTCAACTACTGTCACTTACCGTCCTCTACTGTCACCTACCATAATCTGCTGCCACCTACCATAATCTACTGTCACCCACCATAATATGCTGTCACCTACTGTCAGTTACCGTCCTCTACTGTCACCCACCATAATCTACTGTCACCTACTGTCACCCACCATAATCTGCTGTCACCTACTGTCACTTACTGTCCTCTACTGTCACCTACCATAATCTGCTGCCACCTATTGTCACTTACCATAATCTGCTGTCACCTACTGTCACTTACTGTCCTCTACTGTCACCTACCATAATCTGCTGTCACCTACTGTCACCTACCATAATCTGCTGTCCTCTACTGTCACCTACCATGATATGCTGTCACCTACTGTCAGTTACCATAATCTGCTGTCACCTACTTTCACTTACTGTCCTCTGCTGTCACCTACCATAATCTGCTGTCACCTATTGTCACTTACCATAATCTGCTGTCACCTACTGTCACTTACTGTCCTCTACTGTCACCTACCGTAATCTACTGTCAACTACTGTCACTTACCATAATCTGCTGTCACCTACTGTCACTTACTGTCCTCTACTGTCACCTACCATAATCTGCTGTCCTCTACTGTCACCTACCATGATATGCTGTCACCTACTGTCAGTTACCATAATCTGCTGTCACCTACTTTCACTTACTGTCCTCTACTATCACCTACCATAATCTGCTGTCACCTATTGTCACTTACCATAATCTGCTGTCACTTACTGTCCTCTACTGTCACCTACCATAATCTACTGTCACCTACCATAATCTGCTGTCACCTACTGTCACTTACTGTCCTCTACTGTCACCTACCATAATCTATTGTCACCTACTGTCACCCACCATAATCTACTGTCACCTACTGTCATTTACTGTCCTCTACTGTCACCCACCATAATCTACTGTCACCTACTGTCACTTACTATCCTCTACTGTCACCTACCATAATCTATTGTCACCTACTGTCACCCACCATAATCTACTGTCACCTACTGTCATTTACTGTCCTCTACTGTCACCCACCATAATCTACTGTCACCTACTGTCACCTACTGTCACTTACTGTCCTCTACTGTCACCTACCATAATCTATTGTCACCTACTGTCACTTACTGTCCTCTACTGTCACCTACCGTAATCTACTGTCAACTACCATAATCTGCTGTCACCTACTGTCACTTACTGTCCTCTACTGTCACCTACCATAATCTGCTGCCACCTACCATAATCTACTGTCACCTACCATAATCTATTGTCACCTACTGTCACCCACCATAATCTACTGTCACCTACTGTCACTTACTATCCTCTACTGTCACCTACCATAATCTATTGTCACCTACTGTCACCCACCATAATCTACTGTCACCTACTGTCATTTACTGTCCTCTACTGTCACCTACCATAATCTATTGTCACCTACTGTCACCCACCATAATCTACTGTCACCTACTGTCACTTACTATCCTCTACTGTCACCTACCATAATCTATTGTCACCTACTGTCACCCACCATAATCTACTGTCACCTACCATAATCTATTGTCACCTACTGTCACCCACCATAATCTGCTGTCACCTACTGTCACTTACTGTCCTCTACTTTCACCTACCATAATCTACTGTCACCTACCATAATCTATTGTCACCTACTGTCACCCACCATAATCTGCTGTCACCTACTGTCACTTCGGTCCTCTACTGTCACTTACCGTCCCTTACTGTCACCTACAGTCCCCTACTGTCACCTACCTTCCTCTACCGCCCTCTACTGTCACCTACTGTCACCTACCATAATCTGCTTTCACCTACTGTCACTTACCGTCCCCTACTGTCACCTACTGTCACTTACCGTCACCCACCATCACCTACTGTCCCCTACCGTCACCTACCGTCCCCTACCATAATCTGCTTTCACCTACTGTCACTCACCGTCCCCTACTGTCACCTACTGTCACTTACCGTCACCCACCATCACCTACTGTCCCCTACCGTCACCTACCGTCCCCTACCATAATCTGCTTTCACCTACTGTCACTTACCGTCCCCTACTGTCACTTTCCGTCACCTACTGTAACCTACCGTCCTCTTCTGTCACCTACAGTCCCCTACTGTCACCTACCTTCCTCTACCGCCCTCTACTGTCACCTACTGTCACCTACCATAATCTGCTTTCACCTACTGTCACTCACCGTCCCCTACTGTCACCTACTGTCACTTACCGTCACCCACCATCACCTACTGTCCCCTACCGTCACCTACCGTCCCCTACCATAATCTGCTTTCACCTACTGTCACTTACCGTCCCCTGGTGTCACCTACCATCACCTACAGTCCCCTACTGTCACCTACTGTCACTTACCTTCCTCTACCATCCTCTACCGTCACCTACCTTTACCTACTGTCACCTACTGTCACCTACCGTCCCCTACTGTCACCTACTGTCACCTACCGTCACCTACCGTCACTTACCATCTTCTACTGTCACCTACCATAATCTGCTTTCACCTACTGTCAGTTACCGTCCCCTACTGTCACCTACCATAATCTGCTTTCACCTACTGTCATTTACCATCACCTACCATAATCTGCTTTCACCTACTGTCACTTACTGTCCCCTACTGTCACCTACCGTCACCTATTGTAACCTACCTTCCTCTACTGTCACCTACAGTCCCCTACTGTCACCTACCTTCCTGTACCGCCCTCTACTGTCACTTACAGTCACCTAACATAATCTGCTTTCACCTACTGTCACTTACCGTCCCCTACTGTCACCTACTGTCACCTACCATCACCTACTGTCACTTACCGTCCCCTACTGTCACCTACCGTCCTCTACTGTCACCTACAGTCCCCTACTGTCACCTACTGTCAGCTACTGTCACCTACTGTCACCTAACTTCCTCTACCGCCCTCTACTGTCACCTACCACAATCTACTGTCACCTACTGTCACTTACTATCCTCTACTGTCACCTACCATAATCTATTGTCACCTACTGTCACCCACCATAATCTACTGTCACCTACTGTCATTTACTGTCCTCTACTGTCACCCACCATAATCTACTGTCACCTACTGTCACCTACTGTCACTTACTGTCCTCTACTGTCACCTACCATAATCTATTGTCACCTACTGTCACCCACCATAATCTGCTGTCACCTACTGTCACTTACTGTCCTCTACTTTCACCTACCATAATCTGCTGCCACCTATCATAATCTACTGTCACCTACCATAATCTATTGTCACCTACTGTCACCCACCATAATCTGCTGTCACCTACTGTCACTTCGGTCCTCTACTGTCACTTACCGTCCCTTACTGTCACCTACAGTCCCCTACTGTCACCTACCTTCCTCTACCGCCCTCTACTGTCACCTACTGTCACCTACCATAATCTGCTTTCACCTACTGTCACTTACCGTTCCCTACTGTCACCTACTGTCACTTACCGTCACCCACCATCACCTACTGTCCCCTACCGTCACCTACCGTCCCCTACCATAATCTGCTTTCACCTACTGTCACTCACCGTCCCCTACTGTCACCTACTGTCACTTACCGTCACCCACCATCACCTACTGTCCCCTACCGTCACCTACCGTCCCCTACCATAATCTGCTTTCACCTACTGTCACTTACCGTCCCCTACTGTCACTTTCCGTCACCTACTGTAACCTACCGTCCTCTTCTGTCACCTACAGTCCCCTACTGTCACCTACCTTCCTCTACCGCCCTCTACTGTCACCTACTGTCACCTACCATAATCTGCTTTCACCTACTGTCACTCACCGTCCCCTACTGTCACCTACTGTCACTTACCGTCACCCACCATCACCTACTGTCCCCTACCGTCACCTACCGTCCCCTACCATAATCTGCTTTCACCTACTGTCACTTACCGTCCCCTGGTGTCACCTACCATCACCTACAGTCCCCTACTGTCACCTACTGTCACTTACCTTCCTCTACCATCCTCTACCGTCACCTACTGTCACCTACCATCCTCTACCGTCACCTACCTTTACCTACTGTCACCTACTGTCACCTACCGTCCCCTACTGTCACCTACTGTCACCTACCGTCACCTACCGTCACTTACCATCTTCTACTGTCACCTACCATAATCTGCTTTCACCTACTGTCAGTTACCGTCCCCTACTGTCACCTACCATAATCTGCTTTCACCTACTGTCATTTACCATCACCTACCATAATCTGCTTTCACCTACTGTCACTTACTGTCCCCTACTGTCACCTACCGTCACCTATTGTAACCTACCTTCCTCTACTGTCACCTACAGTCCCCTACTGTCACCTACCTTCCTGTACCGCCCTCTACTGTCACTTACCGTCACCTAACATAATCTGCTTTCACCTACTGTCACTTACCGTCCCCTACTGTCACCTACCGTCACCTATTGTAACCTACCGTCCTCTACTGTCACCTACAGTCCCCTACTGTCACCTATTGTAACCTACCGTCCTCTACTGTCACCTACAGTCCCCTACTGTCACCTACCTTCCTGTACCGCCCTCTACTGTCACTTACCGTCACCTAACATAATCTGCTTTCACCTACTGTCACTTACCGTCCCCTACTGTCACCTACTGTCACCTACCATCACCTACTGTCACTTACCGTCCCCTACTGTCACCTACCGTCCTCTACTGTCACCTACAGTCCCCTACTGTCACCTACTGTCAGCTACTGTCACCTACTGTCACCTAACTTCCTCTACCGCCCTCTACTGTCACCTACCACAATCTGCTTTCACCTACTGTCACTTACCGTCACCCACTGTCACCTACCGTCTTCCACTCACCTTTGGCAGGATGCTTCTGGTAGTAGAGAAGAAGTAGGTGTGAACAATCAGCTCTTCGGCTACTGACGTGTAATTACCCTGAAGACACACCAAAGGTCAGCAGTGTGTGGGAGTGTGTGTGTGTGAGAGTGTGTGTGTGTGTGTGTGCGTGTGTCTGTGTGTGTGTGTGTACCTTCAGCTGTGATGTGGCTCCAACATAAACGAACATGACATCATGGCGACTCATGGCGTGCTGGAAGAGCTGCTGGCTGCTCAGAGATCGAACAAACGGCCTGAACGACACAACACGGACAGACTGACTGCTGTGATGTCACACTGCACATTTAAAGGTCACGACTTGTTTTATCAATATCAATTTTACTTAAAACAACGACAAACAGTAATTACACAGTAAAAGTACAGCAATAAAACATTATAATATACAGTTGATATTAAAATTGGCAGAGATAATAACTGACACGTCTGAGATGTGCTTATATCAGATCTGTCAATAAATATCAAGCCTGAAGCTGCTGTTGTTTAATAAATCACTTGAAGCTAAATCGCAAAGAAAGGTCTGCAGATCCACGTTGATCCCACCGATGAACAACACCACTGTGAGTTTATATTGATGTGAATATTCCGTGTGTTCACATTTGGTTTTTGAAACACAGTCTCCGGTAAAGGAAGAACGGGTTTTGGATTAAAGGGGAAGGACCTTAGACGATCCACCAGCCAGATCAACCGGACCGGGCACCACGGCGGGTGTTATGATCGCTCAGGGGAAAGAGAGCCGGGACCGGAGCCATGTGGCCCAGTTTGGACTTAATTCTGCTCCTAAAGGTCCGGTCTGGACAAAATGAGACTCATGTTGGCCAAACATCTTTACTGAGACCTGGTCCATCAACATCCCGGATCAAGCCCTCTGCAGGCGGTCCATGTTCTGAGCTGTCAGAGTGAGACGAGAGGAGGTGCATCGATGGTGCTCGGTGCTCAAACTCAGTCAGACACAGATCTAAAACATGCACTGCAGAATGTTCCGGGTCCAGCCTATTGTTTTATTTATTTATTTTATATGTTACTATATTTAAATACACATTTAATTTAATTACAACCTTGTGTTGTATAGTGAAAAAACCTCGTACCTTTTTAACTGTGAATGTATTTTCACTTTGTGCATCACAACGGACGACCACGTGTTTCTGCTTCAGGTGTCAGACTGCAGCTGCTGTTACTAACATCACATTAGCTAATACAGACGACGTTTACTCACCCTCCAACTCGGTTAGCAAAGTCCATGATTCCATCTTTGGTTCTTTGTCCTAAATAATTATATTTAAATTTTTTCTTCCATCTGAAAACAGAGAACCGACATTCAAATAACCTTTATTATTTTCAGACGGCTGAACACAAAAACAAAACAATCCTTAGTCCCAGCAGAAGAACGAGGAGAGTAATCATGAAGAGAACGCCAACAGCAACACCAGCGTGGTGGAAACTAAACATGTTCAGACAGTGGACAGGAAATCACGTGATCTCAGCATGTGCGTAGAGGCAGTCACAGTACAGAAACACACCTCTCTAACTTTGTTCTCTGGATCAGATTTTATAGAGGGAAGATATTCTGTTCTCCCTCTGACGACCTCGGCTGCTCGACTCGACAGAGAGATTTAAAGAAGCCGCTAACTTTAAAACACAGATTTTCTCTTTAAAATTCAATTCAATTTTATTTATATAGCGCCAAATCAAAATGTGACCCAGTTTGACAGAGTTGTGTTTTGAACAGGAATCATGAGGCCGGCCGGCGTCTCATCTCTTTCATTTTGTTCCACAGGTGTAATGAAAGAGATCACGTGACCTCCTGTGCCCGCCATTATGTTGGAAAAAGCAGCAGCAAGGACTCACATGAAGATGGCTGGATAATCCCGGACCCTGAACTCTTTGGCCAAACCTGCAGAGAGAAACAAAGACCAGCAGTGACCTCTGACCTGATTCTGTTAACACCTGCACACATGCAGAGTCTCCACGTTTCAACAGGTGACAGCAGGAAGTTAGCCAGCTGCTTAATGTCACTCACCTGTGGGGAACAGTAACCAGGTTATACTGACTTTATTCAGCTTATTATTTGGAGGTCTGTGCAGCTCACCTGTGTTGGCAGCTGGTGTATTTATGTAGTTTTATTCTGAAAGTCTTATTTTATTTTTTGTGTTACTGACCTTTGCTGGTGGTGGCGTCTGATCTGCCCACATTGACCGGAGAGCCGAGACTCTTCAGTTCTGACCCGATCTGATGCCAAACTGGATCCAGCTGTTTACAGAACACACACCAGGGGGCGTAGAACTGCACCCAGAACACACAGAACACTTAACATGTACCGCTTCTATCACCTGACATAAAGTAAGCAACCTACCTGACAGGTGAGAGGTTACAACAGGTGAGAGGTTAGAACAGATGAGAGGTTAGAACGGATGAGAGGTTAGAACAGGCGAGAGGTTAGAACATGTGAGAGGTTAGAACAGGTGAGAGGTTAGAACAGGAACAGGTGAGAGGTTAGAACTGGAACAGGTGAGATGTTAGAACTGGAACATGTGAGAGGTTAGAAAAGGTGAGAGGTTAGAACAGGAACAGGTGAGAGGTTAGAACTGGAACAGGTGAGATGTTAGAACTGGAACATGTGAGAGGTTAGAAAAGGTGAGAGGTTAGAACAGGAACAGGTGAGAGGTTAGAACTGGAACAGGTGAGATGTTAGAACTGGAACATGTGAGAGGTTAGAACAGGTGAGAGGTTAGAACAGGAACAGGTGAGAGGTTAGAACTGGAACAGGTGAGATGTTAGAACTGGAACAGGTGAGAGGTTAGAAAAGGTGAGAGGTTAGAACAGGTGGGAAGTTAGAACAGGAACAGGCAAGAGGTTAGGACAGGTGAGAGGTTAGAACAGGAACAGGTGAGAGGTTAGAACTGGAACGGGTGGGAGGTTAGAAAAGGTGAGAGGTTAGCACAGGAACAGGTGAGAGGTTAGGACAGTGAGAGGTTTGAACAGGTGAGAGGTTAGAACAGGAACAGGCGAGAGGTTAGGACAGTGAGAGGTTTGAACAGGTGAGAGGTTAGCACAGGAACAGGCGAGAGGTTAGGACAGTGAGAGGTTTGAACAGGTGAGAGGTTAGAACAGGAACAGGCGAGAGGTTAGGACAGTGAGAGGTTTGAACAGGTGAGAGGTTAGCACAGGAACAGGTGAGAGGTTAGGACAGTGAGAGGTTAGAAAAGGTGAGAGGTTAGCACAGGAACAGGCGAGAGGTTAGGACAGTGAGAGGTTTGAACAGGTGAGAGGTTAGAACAGGAACAGGCGAGAGGTTAGAACAGGCGAGAGGTTAGAACAGGCGAGAGGTTAGAACAGGCGAGAGGTTAGAACAGGAACAGGTGGGAGGTTAGAACAGGCGAGAGGTTAGAACAGGCGAGAGGTTAGAAAAGGTGAGAGGTTAGAACAGGAACAGGTGGGAGGTTAGAACAGGCGAGAGGTTAGAACAGGCGAGAGGTTAGAAAAGGTGAGAGGTTAGAACAGGTGAGAGGTTAGAACAGATGAGAGGTTAGAAAAGGTGAGAGGTTAGAACAGGTGAGAGGTTAGAACAGGAACAGGCGAGAGGTTAGAACAGATGAGAGGTTAAAAAAGGTGAGAGGTTAGAACAGGAACAGGCGAGAGGTTAGAACAGGAACAGGCGAGAGGTTAGGACAGTGAGAGGTTTGAAAAGGTGAGAGGTTAGAACAGGTGAGAGGTTAGAACAGGAACAGGCGAGAGGTTAGAACAGGCGAGAGGTTAGAAAAGGTGAGAGGTTAGAACAGGAACAGGCGAGAGGTTAGGACAGTGAGAGGTTTGAACAGGTGAGAGGTTAGAACAGGCGAGAGGTTAGAACAGGAACAGGCGAGAGGTTAGGACAGTGAGAGGTTTGAACAGGTGAGAGGTTAGAACAGGTGAGAGGTTAGGACAGTGAGAGGTTAGAACAGGCGAGAGGTTAGAACAGGTGAGAGGTTAGAACAGGTGAGAGGTTAGAACAGGTGAGAGGTTAGAAAAGGCGAGAGGTTAGAACAGGCGAGAGGTTAGAACAGGTGAGAGGTTAGAACAGGTGAGAGGTTAGAACAGGTGAGAGGTTAGAACAGGTGAGAGGTTAGAACAGGTGAGAGGTTAGAAAAGGCGAGAGGTTAGAACAGGTGAGAGGTTAGAACAGGTGAGAGGTTAGAACAGGTGAGAGGTTAGAAAAGGCGAGAGGTTAGAACAGGCGAGAGGTTTGAACAGGTGAGAGGTTAGAACAGGCGAGAGGTTAGAACAGGTGAGAGGTTAGAACAGGTGAGAGGTTAGAACAGGTGAGAGGTTAGAAAAGGCGAGAGGTTAGAACAGGCGAGAGGTTTGAACAGGTGAGAGGTTAGAACAGGCGAGAGGTTAGAACAGGAACAGGCGAGAGGTTAGGACAGTGAGAGGTTTGAACAGGTGAGAGGTTAGAACAGGTGAGAGGTTAGGACAGTGAGAGGTTAGAACAGGCGAGAGGTTAGAACAGGTGAGAGGTTAGAACAGGTGAGAGGTTAGAAAAGGTGAGAGGTTAGAAAAGGCGAGAGGTTAGAACAGGCGAGAGGTTAGAACAGGAACAGGTGGGAGGTTAGAAAAGGTGAGAGGTTAGAACAGGCGAGAGGTTAGAACAGGCGAGAGGTTAGAACAGGTGAGAGGTTAGAACAGGTGAGAGGTTAGAACAGGAACAGGTGGGAGGTTAGAAAAGGTGAGAGGTTAGAACAGGCGAGAGGTTAGAACAGGTGAGAGGTTAGAACAGGTGGGAGGTTAGAACAGGTGAGAGGTTAGAACAGGTGGGAGGTTAGAACAGGTGAGAGGTTAGAACAGGAACAGGTGGGAGGTTAGAAAAGTGAGAGGTTAGAACAGGTGGGAGGTTAGAAAAGGTGAGAGGTTAGAACAGGCGAGAGGTTAGAACAGGTGAGAGGTTAGAACAGGAACAGGTGGGAGGTTAGAACAGGCGAGAGGTTAGAACAGGCGAGAGGTTAGAACAGGTGAGAGGTTAGAACAGGTGGGAGGTTAGAACAGGTGAGAGGTTAGAACAGGTGGGAGGTTAGAACAGGTGAGAGGTTAGAACAGGAACAGGTGGGAGGTTAGAAAAGTGAGAGGTTAGAACAGGTGGGAGGTTAGAAAAGGTGAGAGGTTAGAACAGGCGAGAGGTTAGAACAGGTGAGAGGTTAGAACAGGTGGGAGGTTAGAACAGGTGAGAGGTTAGAACAGGTGGGAGGTTAGAACAGGTGAGAGGTTAGAACAGGAACAGGTGGGAGGTTAGAAAAGTGAGAGGTTAGAACAGGTGGGAGGTTAGAAAAGGTGAGAGGTTAGAACAGGCGAGAGGTTAGAACAGGTGAGAGGTTAGAACAGGAACAGGTGGGAGGTTAGAACAGGCGAGAGGTTAGAACAGGTGAGAGGTTAGAACAGGCGAGAGGTTAGAACAGGTGAGAGGTTAGAACAGGAACAGGTGGGAGGTTAGAAAAGGTGAGAGGTTAGAACAGGTGGGAGGTTTGAACAGGTGAGGGATTAGAACAGGTGAGAGGTTAGAACAGGAACAGGCGAGAGGTTAGAACAGGAACAGGCGAGAGGTTAGAACAGGAACAGGCGAGAGGTTAGAACAGGAACAGGCGAGAGGTTAGAACAGGAACAGATGGGAGGTTAGAAAAGGTGAGGGATTAGAACAGGTGAGAGATTAGAACAGGTGGGAGGTTTGAACAGGAACAGGCGAGAGGTTAGGACAGGAACAGGTGAGAGGTTAGGAGAGGAACAGGTGGGAGGTTAGAAAAGGTGAGAGGTTAGAACAGGTGGGAGGTTAGAACAGGCGAGAGGTTAGAACAGGTGAGAGGTTAGAACAGGAACAGGTGGGAGGTTAGAACAGGCGAGAGGTTAGAACAGGCGAGAGGTTAGAACAGGTGAGAGGTTAGAACAGGAACAGGTGGGAGGTTAGAAAAGGTGAGAGATTAGAACAGGTGAGAGGTTAGAACAGGAACAGGCGAGAGGTTAGAACAGGTGAGAGGTTAGAACAGGAACAGGTGAGAGATTAGAACAGGAACAGGTGAGAGATTAGAACAGGTGAGAGGTTAGAACAGGAACAGGTGAGAGATTAGAACAGGAACAGGTGAGAGGTTAGAACAGGTGAGAGATTAGAACAGGTGAGAGATTAGAACAGGTGAGAGGTTAGAACAGGAACAGGCGAGAGGTTAGAACAGGTGAGAGGTTAGCACAGGAACAGGTGAGAGATTAGAACAGGAACAGGTGAGAGATTAGAACAGGTGAGAGGTTAGAACAGGAACAGGTGAGAGGTTAGAACAGGAACAGGCGAGAGGTTAGAACAGGTGAGAGGTTAGAACAGGAACAGGCGAGAGGTTAGAACAGGTGAGAGGTTAGAACAGGAACAGGCGAGAGGTTAGAACAGGTGAGAGGTTAGAACAGGAACAGGCGAGAGGTTAGAACAGGTGAGAGGTTAGAACAGGAACAGGTGAGAGATTAGAACAGGTGAGAGGTTAGAACAGGAACAGGTGAGAGGTTAGAACAGGAACAGGCGAGAGGTTAGAACAGGTGAGAGGTTAGGACAGGAACAGGTGGGAGGTTAGAAAAGGTGAGAGGTTAGGACAGGAACAGGTGGGAGGTTAGAAAAGGTGGGAGGTTTGAACAGGTGAGGGATTAGAACAGGCGAGAGGTTAGAACAGGCGAGAGGTTAGAACAGGCGAGAGGTTAGAACAGGCGAGAGGTTAGAACAGGTGAGAGGTTAGAACAGGAACAGGTGAATGGTTAGGACAGGTTTGTTAGAAAGTGTAAATGCAGGTGAACACACCTTGATGAGCCAGGTGTCGTCGTCTGCCCTCGTCTCCATAAAGCTGTGAAACACAGACGGTTGTTTGTTGTGAAATGACTCGTTTACTTTAACGGTTCTTTAAACATGAAATCTGTCGCTTCCTTTAAAACTCACGTGTCGTCCAGCTCCTCCACAAAGGCCGACGCTGACGCCACCAACAGAACCAGCAGCACTGAACAACAAACAAACAAACAAACGTTTAACGCCTCCTAAAACAACACTAACTCGTTTGTTCTGCAGCTTTCAGCAGGATCACATGGTCAGTCTGCTGATCAGGACCATGTGATCAGGTTGAAAGCTCCAGAACAGTAAGCGGACCTTGAGTGTTGCAGTGGGATGTTATCACCCAAAGATGGCGGTCAGAGGTGACGTCTGTGATTGGCTGACAGGAAGCCATGATTAAGAGGACACCTGTCAGACAGAGGTCTCTGATCATTTTCACAGAAAATAACAGCTGTGATCTGTTTATTGATCGTCAGTGTTCTGCTCTTCAGGTTGGCTTAAATCTAATGAGACAGGAGGCTGCTCTCTTTACCGCCAGATTAAATTTAAAGACATCTTAATCCAGCAGGAACACAGTCTCACAAACAAAGACATTTCAATCTGTCAGGAAGATGTTTCATAAAACCTGAAACTGCTCAGAACTATTTATTCAAACAGGCAGACACCTCGAGTAGAACCTGGACTCAGACCGCCATCTGCCTCCACCGGCTGAGGGGGGGGTTACAAAATTCTCTGTAGTTCTGAGATTAAATCATCCTTCAGTGTGAGACGCTAAATTAACCCTGTTAGTCCTCGTTATTCTGCAGCAGCTGTGGGTCACAATGAGTGTAAAAATGAATGGAGTTTGGCGGAGGACTTACCCGAGTGCAGGACCGTGTTCCTCCGGTCCGACATGTTGACTGATGGAGCAGAAGCTGCTGAACAGAGGGATTAACAGCATAGAGCTAATCTACTAACTGCTAACAGACTGAACATAGCCTTAATCTGACAGATTAACCGCTTCCATTCAATCCACTGAAGCTTTATTGACAATGACACCAACACACGACACAGACAAACAGGAAGTCTGCAGAATATGTTCATGTTCAGAGAAGCAGCAACACTGATGTTTACTAGTCTGACGGACAGGTATGAGGAAGGATACAAGGAGGTAGGGAAGGAAAAAGGAAGGAAATGAGGCAAGGAAGGAAAGAAACAAGGCTGCTTCCAGTCTTTGTGCTAAGCTAGGCTAAAAGTTCCCCTGCTTCCAGTCTTTGTGCTAAGCTAGGCTAAAAGTTCCCCTGCTTCCAGTCTTTGTGCTAAGCTAGGCTAAAAGTTCCTCTGCTTCCAGTCTTTGTGCTAAGCTAGGCTAACAGTTCCCCCTGCTTCCAGTCTTTGTGCTAAGCTAGGCTAAAAGTTCCTCTGCTTCCAGTCTTTGTGCTAAGCTAGGCTAAAAGTTCCCCTGCTTCCAGTCTTTGTGCTAAGCTAGGCTAAAAGTTCCCCTGCTTCCAGTCTTTGTGCTAAGCTAGGCTAAAAGTTCCTCTGCTTCCAGTCTTTGTGCTAAGCTAGGCTAACAGTTCCCCCTGCTTCCAGTCTTTGTGCTAAGCTAGGCTAAAAGTTCCTCTGCTTCCAGTCTTTGTGCTAAGCTAGGCTAACAGTTCCCCCTGCTTCTAGTCTTTGTGTTAAGCTAGGCTAAAAGTTCCCCTGCTTCCAGTCTTTGTGCTAAGCTAGGTTTCCCCTGCTAAACTTTCTTTTCTTCACCCTGCAGCCAAACAAATCAGTTAGTAAAACAAAGAGTTAACAGCTGACATGTTCAGAGAGATCAATGACCAGGACACTTCCACTGAAACCATCTTCCCAATAATCAGCTTTCTATGCAAGTATTTAATCTGATCCTCAGCTGTCAACCGCAGAGCAGGGACCAGAACTCTGAGCTGCATCATTAAACAGTCACAGAGCCAGGTCGATTCAAACTCCAGGTTTGATGGTTTGTCTGTGTACGGACGTTTGGGCAGAATCCGACACGTCCTGCTGAAATAAACAACTGGTGTCACTTTGTAACACGCTGGGTAGCCTTCAGCGCCTTTTCTGGACACGCTGGGCTCTGCGGTCAAGTTTACAACAATAAATATGCTACGTCCCGTTAGACTTTCAAAATAAAACACATGGTAAACACAGTGAAACGCTCGCAGTTTGATTAAACTGGTACCAAAACTACTTGGTCAAGTTTAGGAGATCCTGTTTTGGGTTAAAATAAGTGTGTTCGTTCAGGTACGTCTCCTGAGTCCCGTGTTTCTTGACTGATCCTCCCCGACCACCTCCCTACGTGTACTTTATCTCTTTTAGCTATCCTACATGACCTGACACATAACACTTGTAGCGTTGAAAACTGACATTAAAGGGGTACCCGGTGCGTTAGTGACATCTGTGAAGAGTTGGGGGTGGGACGGGGTTGGAAGAAGAACAGGAGATTACCTTAGAGGAGATTAGTGCAAGAGAGTAATCAGTGTGGGGGGCCAGGGGTCTAGATAATCCAGGTGCTGAAGCTCAGCAGGAACCAGGTCTCTGCACCTGATGCTGCTTTTAAACAGGAAACACTCAGTTCAGCTTTTATGTTCCTTTAATGCAAATCCAACCAGCAGATAAATAAAAACATTCAGTTAAAACACTGTGACATCAGCAGCACGTCTGGTGACATCATCAGACCTCCCCACAAGCTAACAGTCCAATGAGAGTGTCCGATCAGCTGCGTGGTCACAGTGTGGCATGCTGGGAGGGGGCGTGGTGTCTGCGGACATGTCTCAGCAGCAGCTGGCGGTCCGGACTCGAATACTCACACTGCTGGCATGGAAACGACTCGCCGGTGTGATGGCGGCGAGCGTGGAGGTCCAAACTCTTCTTCTGGATACTGAGACAGAAAAACCAGCAGGTCAGATCAGGAAGGAACATCCTCACAGACACACATATGGTGAACCAACCAATCACGATGCCGGCTCAATATTATGATGTCTGTTAGCCGTTGGACGATGGCATTATCTATCGGCCCAACCCTACCCCAGATGGGATCCAACTAACTGCTCCTGTAGGTCAGCACTCTGTTCGAGGAGGAGTCCTGCCGAGGCCTGAACGCCGAGGCCTGAACGCCGAGGGCTGAACGCTGAGGACTGAGGCCTGAACGCCGAGGCCTGAACGCCGAGGCCTGAACGCCGAGGCCTGAACGCCGAGGCCTGAACGCCGAGGCCTGAGGCCTGAACGCTGAGGCCTGAACGCTGAGGCCTGAACGCTGAGGCCTGAACGCCGAGGCCTGAACGCCGAGGCTGAACGCCGAGGGCTGAACGCCGAGGGCTGAACGCTGAGGGCTGAACGCTGAGGGCTGAACGCTGAGGGCTGAGGCCTGAACGCTGAGGGCTGAACGCTGAGGGCTGAACGCTGAGGGCTGAACGCTGAGGGCTGAACGCTGAGGGCTGAACGCCGAGGGCTGAACGCTGAGGGCTGAACGCTGAGGGCTGAACGCTGAGGGCTGAACGCTGAGGGCTGAACGCTGAGGGCAGGGGATGAGGAGCGAGAGATAAGCAGGGACATGCAACAGGTGTGTGTGTCAGGTGTTACCTGCTGTAGTCACAGTGTTGACACCTGTATGGTTTCTCCTGGCTGTGGGTTCTGCAGTGTCTGAGCAGAGAGCTGCGATCGATAGAAGCATATGGACACTCAGCACACCTGTACGGCTTCTCACCTGGAACACACACAAAACACACACAGTCAGCTGACAGTGTATTACAGGCGTGTGTACATAACCTGTGTGTGTTCTCAGATGTGTTACCTGTGTGGGTTCTCAGGTGTGTGTGTGTGTGTTACCAGTGTGGGTTCTCAGGTGTGTGTGTGTGTTACCAGTGTGGGTTCTCAGGTGTGTGTGTGTGTGTGTGTACCAGTGTGGGCTCTCAGGTGTGTGTGTGTGTGTGTTACCAGTGTGGGCTCTCAGGTGTGTGTGTGTGTGTGTTACCAGTGTGGGCTCTCAGGTGTGTGTGTGTGTGTGTTACCAGTGTGGGCTCTCAGGTGTGTGTGTGTGTGTGTGTTACCAGTGTGGGCTCTCAGGTGTGTGTGTGTGTGTGTGTTACCAGTGTGGGTTCTCAGGTGTGTGTGTGTGTGTTACCAGTGTGGGCTCTCAGGTGTGTGTGTGTGTGTGTGTTACCAGTGTGGGTTCTCAGGTGTGTGTGTGTGTTACCAGTGTGGGCTCTCAGGTGTGTGTGTGTGTGTGTTACCAGTGTGGGTTCTCAGGTGTGTGTGTGTGTGTTACCAGTGTGGGTTCTCAGGTGTGTGTGTGTGTTACCAGTGTGGGTTCTCAGGTGTGTGTGTGTGTGTTACCAGTGTGGGCTCTCAGGTGTGTGTGTGTGTGTGTGTTACCAGTGTGGGTTCTCAGGTGTGTGTGTGTGTTACCTGTGTGGGTTCTCAGGTGTTGCAGCAGTGATGCCTTTAGCCTGCTGCTGTAGGAACAGTGAGGACAGGTGAACGGTTTCTGTCCCCCGTGGACGCCCAGGTGACGCCTCAGAGTCAGCTTGGTAGAGAACTTCCTGTAGAGAAAAAAATCCTCAGCTAAAGCTACCAATCACAGCCCTGCAACAAGTAACACACCTATCACACACCTGGTTTAAATGAGGCTGAAGTGAGTTTCAGGCACTCTTCGGCCGGCTCTTACCTGTCTTCTCCTGTGATTGGTCAGTTTATGTGTTTAAGTGCCCTGAAGCCCCGTGACACCTGCTGAAGCCAGCCCAATTACCTGTGGAGTGAGGGATTGTGGGTAATGTAGTTACCTGTGACACAAAGAGCAGCAGAATCCTGTCTGGTCTCTGACGTCAGCAGACGTCTCCTCGCCCCCCTTCTCTTCCTCTTCTTTCTTCCTTCTGGTCTTCCTCCGGACGCCCTGCATGGACCCGGTCTGAGCTCTGCTGGTCTGTCTGGGAACCAACACACAAATCTCTAATTAATTCTTCACAGTGAACATTTTCATCATATTTGAAATAATCAACTGAATTTGATCAGATCTGAGACTTGACGGTGCAGCATCATGTTCAACAACTTTAATTTGTAGTATTTGAAGCTTTACATAATAAAAGCTCTGTGAAGGTGAAGACAGGCGAGGACACACCTGTCTGTGTGCTCCGCCTCCTTCCCTCCTGCTCGTCCAATCAGCCGGCCCCTCCATCCGTCTGGAGGAAACAAATCATCATCACATTTCAGAGTAGTTTCTGAATTATTACTGATTAATCATTATGAACTGTTAAATGGTTTAGAAAATATTTGGAAGATCTGACTCTGTCCTCCAGGGTTCCACTCTATTTTTATAAATGACTTCAGGACATTCAAGCAAAAACACACTTCTACGCTGACGACACTGTTATTTATACGCATGCTCCCTCCACAGCACAGGCAGTGCAGAGCTTCAGACTGCATTCTGATTCATGGTTTCCCTGTCTGATGGTAAATCCATTGAAAGTGTGCTTGGATATTTGGATAGACGAAACCTTTATCCAATCTACATATTGCTAATCTAGTTAGGAAGCACAAAGTGAAGATTTTAGAAATAAATCTTTACTTATTATACTGTATATGGATGCAGCCTCCTCCATCTTACGGAGCCTTGATTCAGAGTCTCAAGCATCTCTCT